TGAGAACGGGGGAATGGTTTTGTGAGGGTTGGGACGTGGGAGTCCGGGCTGAGGCGCTGCTCTGCTGCAAGGAGGCCTCTTTTGCAAGGCTTTGGATGTTGTGTATTACCATAAGACAGGCTTGTGCCTCCTCCCTTAGGCCTCTGCCCGGGGAAAGGTTCCCTCAGGTGCTATGTGGGCTGTCAGAGTTGCTGGTTGTCCTTGTTCTCTCACGCATCCTCTGCTTAGGTTGGTCCCCCTCAATCACTTTATAAGCTGTGCTGCTGGAGCTTCCTTGTGTTGCTTCTGCTTTCTGCAAAAAAAGAAGAAAAAAAAAAAATCCAGGCAGGGAGAAAGCTCAGCACAGGTGGGCCTTTGGAAGTATGGCTCTGAGTGCTGCCTGTTCTCCTTAAATTCTGGATGTTATTTTCCTCAGATTTTAAATGTTACAAAGCTCAGCACAGGTGGGCCTTTGGAAGTATGCCTCTGAGTGCTGCCTGTTCTTAAATTCTGGATGTTATTTTCCTCAGATTTTTAATGTTACATTGCAACAGGCTATCTAAGCTGGAAGGTGCTCAGTACTTAAGAGATTTTAGGGTATTGTGTTTCAGTAGTGTTAATAGATAATTATACAAAAGTAAAGGAATTGTGCTGTGATGAGATAATTCTTAAAGTATTTATGTGTATGTTTGTGGTTTCATGCTGGCAGTTAATGCTTTGTACCCTGGACAGTTTGGAAAATAAAATGACTGATACACTTGAATGCAAGCTAAGATGAAAGATGTCGACTTAGTAACCCCTTTGAGGCAAGATTTAGGGCAATGTAACTGCTTGCATAAGTAAGGCTCACCCTCAGGGAGTGATCTCTGTTTTGTAAAGTTTTAAGTAGGCCGGATGACACCTTTAAAAACCTCTGTGAAGGGTAAAGTAAAATAGTGAGTGAAGAGGGGCTGATTTCACATTCCCTTTGCTGTTTTTGTCCTTCTTTCTGTGCTCGCTCTGCTGAACATGTTTCTTTTGGAGCACCATGACAGCGCATAACACTGTGACAAATGAAGTGGTGATGTGAAAATAATAATTACATATAAAATACTGTTGTGTTAATACTGCCAAAGAGAAGATTCAGTACCACGTTGATGTTGTTTTTCAGGCATTTGCTATTTGGCTCATAATAGCTAGACACTTTGCCAGGGAAATGCAAATTATTCCTGCCAAGTTCAAGGTGAATGGCAACCTAATTTGTGGGGGAAGGGAAGACTGGATTATTACTTGAAAACCAGGTTAATTTTTAGGACCATAGCCAAGCATGAGCTTTCCAGTCTAAAATGGTAATTTCTTCTCCTTTCAGCTTCTTCTGGAAAAGAAACTGCTTTGTCACTGTTGCCCTGTTTGTGGGAGTCTGAGCTGGCCTAAGGCTAGCAAAGGTTACCTTAAAAGTTGCTTGAGAAACCTGGAATCTTGAAATCAAATGCTGATCCGCAAATGCTAAGAGGAATGGGGAATCTCCTATAGGGAAGCCTGCTCAGAAAACTAGATAAATAAAGGGTGACCGTGAAGCTCAAAAATAGATTAGAAGTTCTCATCTAAAAGATAGACGCAAAGCATCTGGAAACTGATATTGAGCATGCCTTCATATCTGCAGAAATAGGTGAGCTTGACTGGGAAGAGCAGAGAGTGGATTAGGGAGATCGCACAGAAAAAATCTAAAGATAAGTAAATGAAGAACACAGTGATGAGTGAAACTAAGTGGTGGTGAACAAAAGGTAATTTGCACCAGAAGAAAGCAAAACAAACACTAACGCATAGCTGTAAGCTTTGAGTTAATAGCAAATCAGCGAAAAAGGCCTTGCTGGTAAGAACCTGGGCCTGGCCACAGTGAGAGGTCATACATGGTAAAATGGTCTGATCCAGAGAAGGAATTTCCTGCCTCTTCTTATTAATAGATACAGGTGGCTAGGACAACTCTTCTTTTGGGGGAAAAAAATATTCTAGTTGCTAGGTTGTCTAGGAATAAAACAATTCTAGATTTCACTGAAAACTAGTATTAAAACTGACTGGACTCTAGCCAAAAAATGAAAAATAATAACTTAAGATCTCCAAAAGGAAAAGAAATTCTGATGTACAACAGTCTTCCTGCTTACATCTCTGTCGCTGCAGCCTTATCTAGCAGATGCAAATCTGGAGTAAAATCAGCTAAATGAAGTTGAATATGGCTAGTATTACTATTGCATAATGTAATGGGACTAAAATAAACAGAAATAAGGAATACAATATCTTAATTGTTACCTTTTTAAGTTGCGAGTAGAGACAGCCAAGAACTTTTGAAAATACAATTTTTATCTTGTAATGCAGCTATGTCACCACTAGTAGCTTTGAACCTCTAGATGCAGTACAAAGATGAGCTAACTTGTTTTTAATTCCTTTTTCTGTTGTGTGAATGTGTCAAAGCTGGCATTTGTTAGTGTGGACATAAGAGCCTGTAGAAAACCATGACTTGCATTTAACACTTTGCATTATATTATCTGTATTTCTGACTAGTATTTTTGCAAATATCGATATTTGAATACTTTTTAGAGTAAGTTTCTGACAATGCTGTGTTTTGTTGCTTTCTCGTTTTAGTAAAGCTCCTCTGCAGCATATTTACAACCATTCAAGCTGGGATAAATATGTATCTCCAGGTAATTGGAAGCTGTTTTAGCTACTGATAAACAAACAGGTATGTAAACTCTGTACCTGTTTGGGTTCTTCAGTGTTATGTTTGCTGTTAATAATGATGTGGCTTGCATAGTGCTTCACCTAATACCTGGAAAACAATTTCTGTGCTCCTGCTTATGTGTCCGGACTCTAGCTGCAGTCCTTTCCCTAGCGTGCTGCTTTTAAAGTGCTATTTGTGATGCCTTACCTGTCTCTAAGTTTTGAGGGTTTTTAATATAGCACGTATCTTTTATCCCCCAAGTATATCCTTTGTCTTGCCTTGTGCTGGTCTTCATAAACATCCCTTACTCAAACGTAGCTGGAGGCAATTTATATGGAGCATTCCCCTCTCTGTTAACCCAGGGTGAGGGCTGCTACCTAATGAAATAATCTTCAGCCTGACCCTTAACAGGCTGTAAGCAGCTTTTCCCAGCAAAGCAGGTAAACTCTTGGAACAGTGCAGTAAAGCTTGAAAATATATTATTTTTAAGCATATGTGTGTTCTTACGGGCTTCAGTAGTGGTTTAGAAAAATAAACTCTTATTCCTCTTTAATGCTCTAGAAGGAAAAAAGGAAAGCCACCTTTTATGAACTAGCTTTGAGGGAAAGTGCTTTCAGCTACAGTGGGCGGGGGAAGCTGTATTTTATCAGCAAAAGAGGAAGCCTTTTTAGATAGAAATGAAAACTGTCCTTTCTCAGCATGTTTGAAATGCTCTATTAGTGCAGGTCCCAAACTCTAATGTCTGTAAAACCAATGCACCGTATTTATTCATTTAGTTTCATTTGTAATAATAGGTAGAATAATAAGCAAATCTAAAGAGACAGTACTGACTAGAACTGACAAATGATTGGAAAGATAAAGTGCCTCTCATTGTATCTCTCTTACACCTACATCTGCCTTTTCAGTTGAAAGAAATCAAAGGGAGTCTGCCCTTATTTTCTTGCCTATTTGTGAAGCATGTATAAATTGCCAAGATTTGGGAGGAGAGTGTGATGATACTTTTCAGATCCAGCAAAGGCACAGCTGAAAAAACTGGTCAAATGAAAGGGTTAAGGACACAGGGGAACATTGGTCTCTTTACCTAGGAAATGACAAACAGGACTCTCCTTAAGACCAGATGAAAGGTGCAGGCCACAGAAGCCTTGTGAAGCTGTAGGTTAATAGGGTGATTTTTGGTTACCCATTGGTTCATTTTGCATCACTGCAGGATCATAGAATCATAAGATGTTTTGGGTTGGAAGGGACATCTAGTCCAACCCCCCTGCAGTGAGGGACACCGCTAACTACATCAGGTTGCTCAGAGCCCTGTCCAACCTGGCTTGAATGCTTCCAGGGATTTCAAATTGCTAGAGCAAGTGCAGATGTATAGTTGCCTCTAGCATATGTGCATTTACTGAAACAGTGTTTGTAAATGCTTCTGGTCTGTGGATTTTGCTTGTGAATTAAATGTCCTGATAGGATTATTTCTCTGGGTACCCTTTTCAGCTTTTGGTGCTAATTAACAGCCCCCAAGGACTTGAAGCCACAGATTGAAAATCACTGCATGAAACTTTTTTTTTCTTAACTGGGTTATAGAGTGTAGTCTTCTGATTTCCTAGACTTACTGCTAGTTCTGGCTAGGATGAACTGGGGATAAAAATGCTTTCTGTATTTTTGACCCCAGTTATTCTATCACTGCATTGGATAGCTCTCTGCAGAACAAATATATGGAAACAATTTGCAAGAAAGATTGAGACTATAAGGTTACATTTTTCTTGAGACTGCTGTTTGCATAATCATTTCATGTATTGATCTTATTTGCCTAGCAGCTGATAAGATTTCTTGATGGCATCCAGCTGTAGCTCAGTTTGGTATAGTTGACTGCTTTTTTCTGAAGGTGTTTGTTCTGGGGAACTCTTATCAGAGCTGTGGGCTGACTACTCAAAGATCTTGCAACAACTGGAGGTAAGTGCTGCACGCACGAGTACAATGTTTGCTTTTTTTCACTTATGTGCTTGTCTACAGCTGTTGTAAAGGCTTATTGCTTTTGCTTAACTCTGCTAGAGATACACATGTATCGGTCTGACTTCTGAAGTTCTTATCTTCCTGCAGTAACTGACTAGGCAGTAGAGATTGGCCTGCGCAGGATATTAATGAGCTATTAACGTATGTAACTTACATCTTGTGGAAACAATCACTTGAATTATTTTAAGGTGATACCTGTTTTTGTCACTGGTCATGTGTTGGCTGACTGGTTCAGGTTTGGGCCAGCACAAATTCTGAAGGTCATGACTCAGGCAGCAAACTAGACTGATAATTTAATAGTGATATAGAGTTTGAACTGAAACAATGCCAAAAGGTCTTAATTTGCTCTTTCTTTTTCTTGTGGCAGAGACAATACTGGGGAATTGCTTGATTGTTGATTCCCCTAACAGTTTAATTGGGGACAAAATTTGAATACCAGTAAATAACTTGACTCTTTCCAAACTAATCAGAACTGATGTTGCTGTCATATGGAGTACCTTTTAGCATATCAGTATGTGTTGTGGGGAGTTCAGTGAATGTAGTGTGAAGTTCTGTGACTATTAACCCTTTTTGTTGTCATGGAAGAGAAAAATAATTGTAATGACAAATGCTCTCTGTGGTATGATGTGGTAAATTGCATCTATCTTAGCTGTGCATTTTTCCATAGCTTTGATTGCCACCATCTCAGTGCTCATGTAACCTCTTTTCATTCACAGTGCCATCATCTGTGTGAAAAATTAAGTAGCTTGTTAGAGCTTTCAAGGAAAACATGACGCAGCGTGATCACCCTGTATTCATGTAAATGTTCAAGGCCCCCTCCACTGAGGAGATGTGACCACAGTGAGGTAAGCACTGCGTGTGTGTGATTCTCCACTCTGTGCCTCTGTTCCATGCAGAGACTTTCTTGGGAGTTCATATTGAGGACTGTGGGGTTTGTAGTTTCCGTTTGAGAAACAGGAGGAAGTGTAACCCCATATGCCAGCTAGGTCTGTTTGCCACAGGATGTGATTTGTTTTTGCCACAGGAATTCAGAATTGTGCCTAAGAACTCCCAAGGAACTACTTTGGTGCTAATACAGAATACTACCTGTGTTTTTGTAGCTGTGACAGGTTTTACTTTAGATGTGGTGAAACTGGTTTTGGTGATGCTCTTTTTTTGGGGTGCAAAACCCCTAGTCTATCATCTGTGCCTGTCTGTCAGTGTTTGGATCATCATTGGATAGTGCCTTTTTCTTACCATGTTAGTCTTCAGATATTCTGGATCTGTAGCATAAGACTAGGGAATCACCTCAGGTCTTTGGTGGGTGAAGATTCAGTCCTGCTCTGTTGCTTTCAGTAGAAGAGTGAAGAAGTTACTCTCACACTGCTGGATGGGGATTGTGTGTTTTGTTTCTATAAAGCCAGGTCCTGAATCCAAAGTGTTTGGACATCTTCGGTTTTATCCTTTCACCCTGGTGGCGAAAGGGTTAGATTCTTGCACTGAATGCTCGGTCTTCGTGCTTTTAGCATAGTATGGTCACCTAAGGAATCATAAAAAGATTTAGCTTCCTGGAATCTTCCTTTTACTCAGAGAAAGAGTAGTTAAAAGACTGCAACTTTTTTTTTGTGTGAAGTCGTTACAGCTGCTGGGAGCTCTTGCTTTGCACAGAGGTTAAAGAATCCCTTGCAAGAATTATAACTTGGCTGGACTTGCTGCTAATCTGTGTTAATCTGAAGATCTTGTGTAATTTAAGTCTTTGGGCCTTCATGTTGCAAAAGACTGCCTAATTAAAAGGGGCACTTGCCAGGGATGGGGTGCAGCTTGTTAACGTGGTACACTGTAAGTCATGATGCTTCTGCCTTGTGCCTATTTAGCAAAGTACCATCTACTTTCTAGTGTAGAATGGATTTAAAACTTCAGTATATTTCACATTAGTTTCTGATAAATCATGCTGTTGCTGAACTCTTTCACAAGAAATTTCCCACAAGAAAAAATGGAGATTCTCGTTTTCCAGAAGGACCTACAGAATTTCCAGAGAAGATTTCAAAAGTCAGGAGATTTCAAAAGACATTTGCTCACATTTTCATATCGGACTTCCCCCCAGTACTTCTGTCTTCCTGCAGACAAAAGGTATGCATAATGAAAGTGAAGTTCCTAAGTGAATACCATGAAATTTTGGGTGACTTAGTCACAGAATACTATTTTTCTTCCCTCTGTCAACAGGGAAGAATTCTGCTGTCTGGAAATTGTGCAGGTTTTTTGCAGCCTGCTTTGCACACTGAAAACAGCTTCAGATTTTGTACTGTAAAGCACCACCATTGGAATTTTACTACAGCCCAAATAATTTTACCACTGGATAATCTCCTCAAACGTGCTGTCACTAGTTTAAGCAGCATACAATGAGAGATACTGCAGGCTGTCCTCAGTGTGAAATCTAGTTTCAAAAAACCCGCTCCTGTAAACCTTGTCTGTAGCAGGAAGAATAAGATCAGTAGTGATTCTAATGCTTTTCAGCTGGTAGTCAACATTTTGTGGCTTGAGTGCACATGTTTATGCGTACATAACCAAATGGACGTTTATGAGAACAGTATCACACAAAATAATATTGCCGTTTACTCATTATGAGGATAATACTAATGAGATGAGACTATTGTATTGAAAAAACATGTCCTGCAAAGAACTTCATGTCTTTTCCCATCCAGCTGAAATTGTTACATGACTGTTTCTGCAGACTTGGGGGTAGCTGATAAAATTGCTATGGGAGTTAATGCATGGGCAGGTGAAGTACACAATTGTACTTTATAATGCTGCGAGAGCTCTGTAATGCATGTAAATCTTGGTATTAAAAACAATTACAGAAACTTGTTTAGTGTTGTAATAAGCATGTTACTTCTGAGTAATGCTACAATTGCATGGGTCGAACTGGACGAAGATTTACTGAGGTGTGTACAGTTCTGCTGGACCCACTATTCCCAAGGCAACAGCAGTCTGTGGATGAGACAGTACTGCCATTGTGACAAATCTTAGTGTAGTTGCAGTCAGTGTCTTTTTCCTGTTATAGCTTGCACCAATTTTGGACTAGAATAAACAACACTGTAGTGGCTTTTTGGTCAACGTAATTTGCAGTTTTCTGGCTGACCTGTGCTCACAGGAGTATTTTGCTACCTTCCTGTTGCTAACCAGCAGAGCTAAAAGTGTAGGACATGTCTGGGAAATGTTTATGTTCTGGTGCTCTTGCAGATAGAAACCATTCTGAGAAACACCCCTCATGGCATGGTGAGGGAGTAAAAAAAAAAAAAAAAAAAAAAAAAGGTCATCAATACTATCTTGCCCTGCTGGATATGAACTCTCCAGCTCTAGCAATGCTTCAAGCAAGACCTCACTAGCAAGCAACTGAAAGCTTTCATTCTGTGTGCCTGCACCCTGTAATCCTACGTGGGATGAAAGGGACTAATTAATGCCTCAATGCCAGGGACCTACCCAGTCTTCTGCTGATCAAATACAGTGGCAGCTACTACTGGATTTGGCTTAGGGTCAGGGAAGAGAGAAGGACTGCTGTTAGGGAGAAGGAGGAGCACGTATGTAAGCCTCCTGGGAGTGAACCCCTTTCTCCCTCTGCTGACCAGGACAGCCTTGATCAATATCATGCCAGATATACCCACATCTGGTACAGTGAGAGAAAATGTCCGGAGTGATGATATCAATGATAACTTTTTGATGCAGGTGGTGGAGGAGCCAACAAGAAGAGGAGCGCTACTGGACCTTGTGCTGACAAATAAAGAAGGACTGGTTGAGGATGTGAAGGTAGGGGGCAGACTTGGCTGCAGTGACCATGAGATGGTGGAGTTCTGGATTATGTGTGGTGGAAGCAGATCAGTAACTGTAGGACCACAACACTGGACTTCAGGAGAGCTAACTTTGGCCTCTTCAGGGTCCTGCTTGAAAGAATTCCATGGCTTAAGGCTCTAGAAGGTAGGAGAGTCCAAGAGAGCTGGCTGCTATTTAAGCAACTTTTCCTCCGTGCTCAGGATCAGTGCCTCCCCATGAGTAAGAAATCAAGTAAACAAGGCAAGAGGCCTGCATGGATGACCAAGGAGCTTCTAGTAAAACTCAAAGAGAAGAGGAAGCTCTATGGAATGTGGAAAGAGGGTCAGGCCACTTGGGAGGTACACACAAATGCTGCCAGAGCATGCAGGGAAGCAACTAGAAAGGCTAAGGTCCACCTGGAACTAAATCTGGCGAGGGATATCAAGGATAACAAGAAGGGCTTCTTCAAGTACATCAGCAGCAAACGGAAGACTAGGGGAAATGCGGGACCACTGCTGAATGAAGTGAGTGCCCTGGTGATGATTAGGGGACTGGAGCATCTCCCCTATAAGGAAAAGCTGAGAGAGCTGGGCTTGCTTAGCCTGAAGAAGAGAAGACTGAGAGGGGATCTCATCAACATGTTAAGGGTGGATGTCATGAGGACAGAGCCAGACTCTTCTCAGTGGTGCCCAGCGCCAGGACAAGGGGGCAATGGGCACAAACTGAAACATAAGAGGTTTCAGCTGAATATGTGGAAGAACGTCTTTACCTTTAGGGTGACTCAGCACTGGAACAGGCTGCCCAACGGGGTTGTGGTGTCTCCTTTGGAGATACTCAAAATCTGCCTGCATGATGTCCTGTGCAACCTGCTCTGGGTGAACCTGCTTTAGCAGGGGGTTTGGACTAGATGATCTCCTGAGGTCCCTTCCAACCCTTGCCATTCTCTGATTCTGTGTATGGAGGCTTCTCTTTCTCAGGCATGTAAATGGAAATCTACCTTTCATGTTGAACAACCTGCAGCCCTCCGTGTGTGGGCTGTTACAGGTTTTTTTCAAGCACTGCTGTTCTGAGTGCAATAAATAGAACATTTTAGATTAATTCTTCAGGGAAATAATTTTCAGTATAACCTGGTTGTCAACACTCAGAAGCCTTTGGATATAGCCTAAAATTGTTTGTTGCAAACCTCGGGAGGTCAGAGCCTTTGAAATAGTTGTGTGGAGTAAGCAGTGTTTTAAAAATAATAAACTTCCCCAGATCTGAGCCTGGGTTGCTTTCAGAGCCTCTCAGTTCCTGCAAAGTTTGAGTGACCCTGCAACTGGACTTTAAAGAGGAAATGCTGCTACCTGATCAAGAGCCAGGGCTGAAGGTGCTAAAAAAGAGCTGAGAATGTCTAAAGCCAGTAAAGCTTGTGGTAGTTAGATGAAAAACATGCATCACTGAAGCAGTTAGAGCTGGAATCTTCTAAAGTGCTTGGGATCTGTCAATACAGCACTAGGTTCTTTGGAGTTCTTTAACTAAATTAAAATACAACTTGACCAGGGACTAAGCCATCTTTAAAATCATGTTAATGTGGAGTGAAATGTGTATAGGAATTAAAAAAAGGGGGAAAAAAAAAGCCTTGCAGTACTGTAGCTCCAGGTTTGGGAATATATCTTGTTTGTACAGTGTTCAATTAAGTATCTGGTTTGTGTAATTGTTAAGGACAAACTCACCTCCTTAGTGGTAAGTCCTTTGGTTTATTGGTATTTTAGTAACATTCAGTGCACAATTTACTGCTCAAATGGTTAATTTGTTAGTGAACATGTACATTTGTCATGTTCTGAATATGTGGGTGGGTGTTCTGACTGAATGCATGCATCTGTAGATGCATGCTATAGAACATAATGGAAGCTTAAAATAATTCTTGGCATCATAGTAGCCAGTTTAAGCTTTTGCTCAAGATCTCCATTCATGAATAACCAGCTTTGAGTCTTCCCCTGTGTAACTCATGACAGTTTGGGGATAATTACATTCGGAGAGAGTTTGGGTTGGGGGTAACTCTGCAGATAACTTCCAGTTA